GCGCAGGATAAGACACGCGGGGCCCGAGGGCGGATGGGGACGATGTCGCGAAGGCAGAGTCGGCGCGCCGATGGGCAGCCCAGCACCCCGTTTGGCCGCAGGGGCCCGGTACAATGCAAGGGCAGAGCCTGACCCCCGCCTGGGGTCGCGGGATCGGGTTCCCCTTCCCAAATTAAGATTTTAAATGCCAAAGGGTGTGCTGACCTGAAAATGAGCAAACGACATCAGATCTCCTCGAAATTTCGGGTTCAGTCATACGACGATCCGAGAAGTTTACCGGCCGAGCTGAAAATTGCCAAATCCCGTAGGACTTGTGCCAAAAAAGTCGGGTCCGGTTCGAACGACTCGAAAATGTGCAAACCGCATAGGACTCCTTGCAGCAACATCGTTCTCGAGGTCTTCGGGCCCACTCCGAAGAAACCGAACATGGGCAAACCACCTAGAACTTCTTATCAAGAACGGTTTCTCGGTGGTTCCGGGCCTCGTCCGAAGGAGCCGCCGATGGGCAGACCGCTCAGGACTTCCTGCACAAGAAACGGTTTCCTGGGTGAGCCATTGTCAACGGAACGCTCCCCGCGCGGGATCAGGGTTCGCACGGGGGCGCGGCTGCTCTCGCCTGTCCAGGGGGCATGCATTGCCGCGCCCTTCCAGCATAGCGTTTGCGCTGCATTCGCGCGGCGCCGTGCCTCTCAAATCGGAATGAACTTTCGGAGCGCCGATGTATGGGGCCACGAAGCGGGTAAGAAGTGTGCCGAAATTTGGCGGGGCCACCATGCGGGCGCTGCCACTGGGGCCTTCGAGCATCGCAGGGACAATGACATGAAGGAGGGGGCCAGCAACATGGGCCACTGGAGCCTTCGGTGGAGCTTCCTACAGAGTGACGGACCGTGTGAGAGGTGTGCCGAAATGGCGGGTGATACCGCATGCGGGCGCGGCCACTAGAGCCCGAGATGGAGCTCCCTACGGCATGGTCCTACGGGGCCGCAACGTTTGATGGGTGTCGCCGACATGGAAGGTGGACCCCCATGCGGGCGCTGTCACTGGGGCCTTCGGTGGAGCTACCGAAAGGGTGGTGGAACTGCATGCGGGCGCTGCCCCTGAGGCCTTCGGTGGAGCTCCAATTTTGGCCACGAGACGTGCGAGGGGTGCACCGAAATTGAGGGTGGAACCGCATGCGGGCGCTGCCACTGGCACCTTCGGTGGAGCTCTCCATGGGGCCGCGGACCGTGTGAGCGGTGCACTGAAATGGCGGGTGGAACCGCATGCTGGCGCTGCCACTGGGGCCTTCGTTGGAGCTCCCCATGGAGCCACGAAACGTCTAATGGGTGTCACGAAATAGAGGGTGGAACTGCTTGCGGGCTGCGCTTCTGGGACCCTCGGTGGAGCTCCCTGTGGGGCCACGGACCGTGTGAAGGGTGTGCCGAAATGAGGTTGCAACTGCATGCGGGCGCTGCCACTGGGGCCTTCGGTGGAGCTCCCTATGGGGCAACGAAACGTGTGAGAGGTGGGATGGAATCGCATGTGGGCGCTGTCACTGGGACCTTCGACGGATCTCCGTATGGGCTCGCGAAACGAGTGAGGGCTGTGCCGCAACAGTGACACGCAGAGGGGAAGGGCAGGGATGGGAATGGGAGGAGGGGGGGAGGGGGCAGCGGGAGAGAAAGAGGAAAGACGCGTGGCGCTGTCTCTGCAAAACGAGGACCCGTCACCACAATTGGTTGGAAACTATGGATCAGCGCTCAGAATCCACCGGCAACCCGGCCAGCCTTCCGATCAACCAGCAAGCCTGCCGATCAGCCAGAGCGCCAGGCAACGAGCCAGACTGCCTTTACACACAGCCAGGCGGGCAACCAGATAACTAGCTGAGCCCCCTACCTTCCAGCCAGTCAATCATACGAGGCCGATGTGGCATCACAGCAGCAATTCGGCCCCTGACTTTCGTCCTGGGTTCGGTTTAGTGAAGTGATGACATCCGGGGTCCTTACATGGGAAAAAACATCACTTCACTATTCTGGGGCCCCTGGGGCCTCAGTGGGCCCTGGGGCCCAAAATTAGTGAAGTGATGGTTTTCGAGCCTCGGAAATCAGCCAATCAACCAACCATACCCGCCCAGCCACACCGTCAAGCGAAAGTGAGGCCTGGCGGCACGGGGCCCGGCCCTTCAGCCCTCAGATGCCTCACCAGAGGCCGCCGCCGCCACAGACGGGGCACGCTGAAGACTCGCTGGTGTCGCCGAGGGGGCGAATCGAAAGGAGGGGGCCCTTGAGAGCATTTCAAGTACATGTGAATTACACGTTTTGGGGGGAAGAGGTTGCCACCTCGACAGGTTCCAAGCAGGCGACAGATGCCCTGCTTCTGTAAACAGGCACCGAATGGTGGGACACCGATGGCACGCCGGTGTCAAGATTACAACGCCTGGTGCTTCGGAGCCGGGTGGCTCAAACGGAAGTGAAGGCACGCAGGCGGTGCCACAAGGCAAGATAGTGAAGGCGAAGTGTTGGATCCCAGAGCCGAAGCCCGCCGGTACCTGCCGCTGGCTGCCGCTCAGCGTCGACGGTATCGCCTGCAGGCCTCACGAATTGAACAATGATCGGGCGGCGTGCTTGAGCACGGAATCCCGCGCTGTTGCTCCCGCCGCAAGCGTCATCCTGCGATGCTATGCAACTCCCGTCGACTCTGTGCGAGACAAGAGAAAACGGCAGAAACCTAAACTTTCCGAGCTCCGCGCGGATTTCGTGGATCTGCGGCGAAAGCCCCTGCCTAGCGCGCGGAGCGCGCCAGCTGCGGCGCCAGAGGCGCTGCCAGGGGGCTCCAGTGCAGATCCAAGACGTCTGCTCGGAGCTCAGGAACTTTTGCGTAGCGTGTCGCGGCGGCGACCCAGGCGGCACGCTTTGCCCTGCGAGCGCATGGCGTGTGGCTCCGCTCCGTCAGGCCGAAGGCTACGAAGAGCTCAGGACGTGGACGCTTGGGAATGGGGAAATGGACAGCGTGTCGCGCCGAAGCGTGGTGTGCCAGAACCCAGCGGCGCGACACGCTAAGCACACATGGATGAACCTATGTGTAGGAGGAGGAGGAGGAGGAGGAGGAGGATTCTTCAGTGTTTCTGCTTCGACACTGTAGTGGTGCGGGCCCGAGCACGTCGCGGTCGCTGCGTGCTCCGCGACGTCGCAGGCGGCGGTGTCCACTTGTGCGGCGCTTCGGTGGGCCGCGGCCGCGCCGCGCCAGGCGATCAGGAGCGCGCACTCTTGGGTATGCAGAAACTCCTGGAGGCCTCGCGCGGCGACTTGAGACCACATGAACGTAGTATCCACGTCGGAACTACGTGGAGGTCGCGTCGGGTTACGTCCGGTTTACGTCGGATTCACGTCAGACTCGCGCCGGGGAGCATCGCTGCGCGAACGTCGACCCATACCCTACGGAGCGGACGTGCAGACCGTGTAGACTAGACGGTACAGTTGTTATGCGCCGAGCGAGGCCTCCAGGACTTTCATCGCAGTCTTGGGACAGGCGGGCTGACCGCAACTGGGGGCGCTGCGCTCCTCACCCCCCTGGGGGGTCCCATCGTGTCGACGATCGCTCGGGAGGCGTGCCGAGGTCTGTGGGTCCCTCAAGGCGTGCGCCACTGGCGACCACAGCTCCCCTGAGATGTGGCGCTGGCCGCGATTCGAAATGGCCGCGATTCAAAATGTGGCGTTGGCCGCGATTCTAAATGATGCGTTGGTCGCGAGCATGGCTGATGCCAGACCCGCGAGCCTTCGCAAGAGTGAGCGATGCCCGAAACGACGGGATGCTGGGCATCGGCTCGACCTGCGGCAGAAAACCGCCGCGGGTAATTTCCATACTTGTTTTTCTCCCTCACTCTTGCTTTGCGCCTCTAACCTGACTGATGTCCTCCTGGATGTGATGTGGAAGTCCCACCCCCAATCTTTCGATGCCCTCTCGCAAGAATATCACCGCTTGGTGATTCTGTGGAGCGCACATGCACGTCTCTGCCCGACCCTCCAGCCGCGCCCACGTGCGGCTAAGAGCGTCTGCAAGACAGAGCGGCTGCGACAATACGACTCTAGGCGAAGCGAGTTCGTTACTGCTCATAGGTGCGCCAGCCAGACACTTCATGACAGGAACGGGGCAAGGTGTGGCAAGACTGTTAAATATCTTCAAACACGAAGGCTACGGGCCCAGGATGCTTCCACACCATGCCAATTTCGAAGAATCACGAAATCCGGCAGAACATTGAAACACAGTAAACGTCGCATGTCAAGCGCATGTTCAAACATCGGGGGCGTCGACGGAGAAGACACTACTCTGAAGCGTATGACGCAGAGGCTCTGCAGTCTGTGCGCAATCCCGAGCATTTCCGCTCCCTTCCCTGCTTGTCGTCATCGACTTCTTTCTCCTCCTGGGAGGGGGGGAGGGGGAAAGTAAATCCATTGAAGATCACCTGCCCTTGAAAATCAGCCGCGTCGCAAGCAACACGTCAGACCACGCATGCAAACCCGCGCACGGGGAACTTTGGGATACAACCAGATATTTCGGCGTGGTCCCTGCGATCGGCGTTAGACGCAGGCTGCTGCGCCAGAGACACTCGTCTGCGAGTGATGCGACAAGCCCGCGCGCCTCCTATAGAACGAAATTACACAACCTGACCAGGGCGAGTAGTGGGAGTGGCTCCCTCTCTGGGAGGAAGGACCTCAAGGATGGCAAGGATAACGACGGGTCGCCTCCAGATCGCTCCCATGGGAAAGCAGCGAGAACACATTGAGACAACGGCAGCTTAAAATCGGTCCCCGGATCCCTCCCAGGTTCCAAACGTAACACCTTTCCGAGCCGCGTCCAGCCGTAGCGACGAGGGGGCCTCCCGAAGTCCAACTACAGTTGTCTCAACTCGGACTCCTCGGAAAAGCCGTGAGCGGGCGTGCTGCGCATGACGTCGCCGGCCTACCTCCCTTGGGATGCCTTTGGCTTCCAGGGCGCCGACCGATGCCACGCGCGCCGACCGACGAGGCCGCCGCCGTGCGTCACGGCGCCCCGCGCCAGCGGTAGAGTCCCGGGGCCAGCATGTCGACCACGAGGCGGCAGACGGTGCCTGGCAGCTCCTGTACGAGAACGGCGCCCATGCGCCGAGCAGCCAACCCGCATGGTAGGGATGGACAGCTTTCCAGAATGATCCTCGCATCCTTCCCCTTCGGCCCATCCTTGGCCGCTTTCGCTGGCCTGTGGCCGGCCCCGCTCGCAAGGTGTCGGCAGAACCTTCCAAAGCCCTTGCATCCTTATCGTACATCCTTCTCATACGGGTTGACTGTACCATGCCTGGACTCCGTTCGGCCATTGCTCCCACGCGGTACGGTGCATCGTTGTTTCGGCTCTTGGGGGCCGAACAACTATGCACCGTACCATTCGGGAGACTCCGTCGTGCAACGTCTGCGAGGAGAAACGACGACGCCGCCGAGACCGCCGACGCCAACGGCGTCGTCGTCGACGACGACGACGACGGCGATGGCGGCGACGACGCCGACGACGCCTCGAGAATCGACGACGCCTCGGGAGACGCCACCGCGGCACGGTGCATACAGGTCGTCCACGGATCCTGGAGCCCGGGGCTGCCCGTCGTTGCAGCCCTGGTGCGGCCGCGCTCGGCTGCCTGGACGCCGCGCAGCCACAGGTTCACGAGAGCCTGTAGTAAAGCCCTCCCAGATGGGGTTCGAGTGGATGGTGTCGGAGGATCGCGCTGCATCGCCGATGCATCAACGATGCATCGATGACACATCGACGATGTATCGCCGACGTCTGGGACGCATCGGCGACGTCAGCGTGGATAAGATCGGGATCCACGTCAAGCCGCATCGCCGATGCGTCGGCGATGCGGTGCGATCCTCCGACTCCATCTGCTCCGATCCATCTGAGAGGCCTAGGCCCTAGTCTCGCAATTCAGACTCCAAACAAAACGGGCGGGGATTCATAACTTGAAGGATGGCTGCAATCAAATAACCCCCCCCGCGGGGTTGTCCGATGCCCGAACGTCGATCGGACCTGTGGGTGGAAAAACCAAGCGATACCGATACCGCTAGTCCCCGGACCTCTCTCGGCATGAGTTCGGACCAGAACTTCGAGGCGAATCCAGTGGTGGCGACGAGGGCCTCCCAGGAGGCACAACAAGGCGAGAACGAAGCAAGCGCAGCGGCATCGGCACTCTTTTCCGTCCTCTGGCGTAAGAGTCATGTTGTTCCCCTCGTACTAAGGACCACATCCCAGAAAAAATACCGAAACAAGGTCTGTTCGACACGCTAGCGAAATGTCGAGCGACCATCGCCTGCCAGGGCCGGACACGGGAAAACCAAGGCTAAAGTAAGTTGGAACATCATACAGTCGGACTCGATTGGAGAGGACATGCGATAGGACACAAGACCCTTCCGAGGGCCACGTTGCCACAGGAATGTAGGAAGCATGGGTCGCGAGACACAGGACACAAAGGTCGACCTTGATTTGACAGGGTCGACCCACTAATCTGGGCCGACTGTAACGCAAGGGTAGGACTCGCGAAGGGCGGCGGAGGCCTTGGCGCCGACGCCGTCCCAGTGCCGCACGAGCGACGCGAAGAGGTGCCACCCTCGTGCCTCTGCGCGGTCGGCGGCCGTGCAGCCGCAGGCGTCCCTCTTGCCGCGGTCGGCCCCGAAGGCGAGGAGGCACTCGGCGTGCTCGCAGCAATGCGCCTCGCCGAACCCCCACGCCCTCCTCCTCCTCCTCCTCGTTCTCCTCGTCCTCTTTCTCATCCTCTCCTTCGTTGCGGTTGCCCCCGTCCTCCTCTTGGTTGCGGTCTCTCCCCTCCTCCGCCCTCCTCCGCCTCCTCCGCCTCCTCCTCCTCCTCTCCTCCTCCTCCTCCTCCCCCTCCCCCTCCTCCTCCTCCTCCTCCTCCTCATCCTCCTCCTCCTCCTCCTCCTCCTCCTCCTCCTCCTCCTCCTCCTCCTCCTCCCTGCCACAGTGCGCTCTGCGGATTGTGAAACGGTGCTTGCAACACTGCGCCTCGTCGAAACCCCACTCCCTCTCGAGGCGCCCGGCCAGGCGATCCAGCGGATCGGGACCGAGCAGCTTCAGGCCGATCATCGACAAGCAAAACACGGCACAAACATGAACATTCGGACATCCGCGCTGGTTTCTCGGATTGGCGCTGGACCCCCTCTGGCGGCGCCTCCGGCGCCGCCCACTGCGCATCCCGCGCGTCGGCAATATCGGCGCTGTCGAAGAGCTACATGGAGCAACCTGTAATCAACTTTACATATGTTGCATCGGGCAGTTGTTGCGGTTACGCCTGTGTATTTGATATACATACACGTGCGTATGTGTGTATGTGTATGTGTGTAAGCGCAGGTGTATCTGTATATAAATATTTGGTACATATATGTTCAAGTGAATGTAGACAAGCAAACCCATACGTGTACGTGTATGTGTGTATGTATGGATGCATGCATGTATGTATGTATGTATGCATGCATGCATGTATGTATGTATGTATGTATGTATGTATGTATATATATGTAGGTGTGAGAATGTAGATGCATGCGCGTGCACAACCTTGAGCCACACATTTTGTTGCAATGTGTGCTAAGACGTACACGGAGTTGTGTGGTATAAAAAAGAGTCCCCAAGACGGCCCAGAGGGGCGCCCAGCAGGCTTCCAGAGGTCTCCAAAACCCTTGGGAGGCATTCGTGAGGCCCCCAAGAGGTTCTCCAACGACGAGCCTCCGCAACAAGACCTGCGGCGGACGGGAAAAAGGGTTCGCAACGCCAGGCGAGAGCGAGGATGAATGACAAGAGCGATGTGGAACGATAGCGCGATGCTTTCCATTGCTTTGAATTGTGCGATTGGGCAATTTGGGCCACCAGCGAACCCGTGTGGTGGCCGCGCAAAGGACCCCGAACGTGATTCCTTTGCATGGTCGTGCGTCTTCCAGAAGGAATCCGTGGCGAGCCCAGCTGTCGGTGTATTGCTGCAGCCAAGGACGTATTGCTTGACATCGCATTGTTTCGTATTTTGCAACATTGCTTGGGGATGCTTTGCTTGTTTGGCATGCGCACCATTGACTAGCATTGCGCGCCCTGACAGCCTGGGACACGAGCGGGCTTCGATCATATCAAATCAAACCAGGGGGTTCTCGGAACCCTAGTGGGGCGTGGCCCGATGCACAGGACATTTGGGATCTCTGGAGAGTGGGCTCTTTGAGCCTCGAAACCTTTCTCGCCTGGATGCACACAAGCGGGCTCTGCCGCCAAACAGCTCAAGGGCCCTCCGAAGCCCAGACGGCAGCGGAGGCAGCGGGTGAGAGGGAGCGAGCGGGAGCAGGAACGTGCAGCTGGTGCACGCGAGACGTTAGAAAGAGAAATGTGAACGATATTGCACTCACTATCTTTACTGTTGCCCAAAATCTCCCGAACAGACGTACGAATTAAACTGCTTCCGAAGCTCGGATTCACACGATAGCTTACGCAGCAAACGTACAGGCAAGCTTTCGCGCGGCGGCGAAACACAGAAAACGTCAATATGGAAATGAAACGTGACATCTCAGGCGTGTCACCTAGCCTTATGAAGCAGAACAAGAAGCCGTTCACTCACGAGTGTAATCCGCTATCCGTCCGGAGACCCAGTTGATTCTTCGCAAGAATCTCTCGCAACTGACTCGGAGGTTTTACCTTGGTCAAATGATTCGCAACTTGCTTATCTGTCGGCACCCAAAACACGGTGGACTTCGGATTCTCGTCATCGAACTCTTCGGCAACATGGGCTACCGCAGCGATGCCTATACTCAAACGCCGCTCCAGTGTTGTGGATGGAGTCCCTTCTTTAGTTACGATGTCATACAAAGACTTGCAATCCGTTGCCACCTTAGTCGGCATGAAGAAACTCGGAAGCTTACCTGAAATGCCCGGCTTGAAGTCCCGAAACAAGACCTCGGCGAACAAATGACGCAGAAAGTAAGCCGTGTCCACACCAGCATCCATTGCCATTGCCTCGGCGGCCAAAGTACTTCGAACCACTCGACGAATACGGTGAGAACGCCAATCAAGTAGAGTAGCCGCTCCGCCTTTGGAAGTCAAGCTATCTTGATCTGACAAGAAAACCATGAAACCATCTTGACTTTGATTCTCCTGAGCGTTGGCCCACGCAGCATCAGTAAACGTGATGAGAACACTTCTCGTAAAATCCGGCGGCACAACATATAGCCCAATATCTTGATAATCTCGTGCTTCGCGTAGGATACGATTGATAACCATCAAATTAGAAATCTTCGGATTCGAGCCTTGTCCACAAAAAGTCGCAGCAGCTAGATCCGGTCGCGTCTGACCAACCAACCATTGACAAAATCCCACACCACTCGCGAAATTGGTCTTCTCCTCGACGGTGAGCTCGGCCTCGGGCGTCGCAGATCTCCATCGCGGCAGTGGCGCCGGCACGCATTGACCACAGAGCTCCTTCTGGTTGATGAAAATCGTGCCGTTCTCGTTCTTACTGAGGTGCTTGCCGCAGTAGGTCAGCTTGTTGTCCCACCATTTGCCGAAAGTGAACCTCTGGCGGATGGTCTCCAAAAGCTTGGAGCCTTGTCGAGCATCTGCGCCTCCGATGAGGTCGTCCACGCGGATGCCGATAATCATGATAATGCGGCCTGCCTTGTTGTAGAAACAGAATAGGGTCTTGTCCAGCAGGCACTGCTTGCCACCGATGTGCATGAGAAAGTCACGAAGTTCTCGCCACCACAGGCGAGGGCTATTGACGAAACCGTAGATAGCACGTCGCACAAGTAGAAGAGCACCGCGTTGAACACCTGGAAGTCCTTCAGAAGGTTGTCTAAGGTAGATCGGCTTGTCGCGCTGGGCCTTGGTCTGATCGGCTTGCAGGAAGGCTGTGGTAACGTCGCCTCCGAACAAGTTGAAGTCCCAGCTCGAGATCGTCTGCAGCAAGATGTAGAAACCAACTATTGCAAGTGTTGGTGCGTCACGCCTGAGAGTCATGATGTCCGGGTCGTTGGAGCCGATACCCGCGATCCTCGCCTTGGCGTCGATCTCGGAAACTCCACGTCCGGCGTTCTTGTCGCGGTAGCAGACTCTAGATGGAATAATGCGCTTCTTCTTCTCGGGGTCGCTCTCGATAGACTTGGGCGTCTTCAGATCCAAGACCTCCACGGCTGAGAAACGTTGCCAAGATGACCATTCATGGGCCAGAGCTTCCTGCAATAAATGTATCTGATCTGCAGGGATCTGTGAGTGGGGGATCTCACGAATGAGCGCCTTCTGGTCCTTCTTGGTCATAGTGAAGCTGCCGTTCTTGTTGAGGTAGACCTCGTAGGCTGGCGACTCGAGAATAGTGTACTGCTCCCACATGTAAATCGGAATGACAGAGTTCTGCTCAGTGCCGTTGAAGCAAACGTAGGTCGCACCTGGGGCCAGTGAAGTAGGCGGTGTAGTTGGCGTCTCTGGTTCTGCGAAGCGGGGTCGTCGGGCAGCTCGAGTATCTCCTTCAGCGTCTTCAGGTAGTGGTCGAACAGCTGGCAGTATGTTGTCGTTCATGTTGTCCCCGGAGCCGCTGGCCTCGGGTAGCTGTCGTGGTTCAGCATGTGGCTGGGCAGGAGGTGGTAGAAGTCCTCGAACGTGTTCACGTCCTCCTTCGTCTCGTACAGCAGCGGCTAGATCAGACACGATCACGTCGTTCGGGTCGATCTCGGCAGGTGGTACCGCACGTTCGTCGTGAAATGGTTCAGGTGGTGCTTGAGTAGCCGTGCGTAGCTCAGTCAAGTCCTCCTCATCAGGTATCCACAATTCAGTACCATGTGCTTCTCGGAGTTGTTCTTTTGAAACCAAGATCAGATGTCCTGAAGACTGTACCCAAACATTGTTGTCATCGGCACCGCCACTACCACCAGGACCAACCACAGTAGCCACAATGAACCTTGCTGGGTATTGATTGCCCTTCTTGTTCTTCGCTTGACGCCAGAAAGCCACTCGATCTCCAGCGGTGTAGTCTCCTCGGTAAGGTCGGTTAACTCGAAGCATCGCGCGCTTGAGAGACTCGGACCTGTCGTACTCGGTGAAAGCCATGTCTGCGAGGGCTCGTACCCGGGCTCGTTTAGCAAGCTCGGCATCTGCGGTCATTGCGCTGTGTGCGACGGCAGAGTTGGCTGGGTCGGTGATGCTGTCGGGGATCCTCGGGTCCTTCCCGAAAGTCCACTGATATGGTGAAGCACCGCATTGTCGAACACGAGAGTTGCGAGACTGGTTGATCGCAGGTGCCATCAGCTTCATGTCCTCGACTCCGGCAAGCTGCATCGTGTCAATCACCTTCTTGGCCATGTGCTTCCAGAGCGTGATGTTCGCCTCGACTCGCCCTGACTGCCTGTGAGCTTCAGCTGGGGGCTTCTCGACGTGGACGTCGTGAGCCTCAAGATGTTCAACGAAAACAGCCTGAAAAGCACCATCGCGATCCCACACCACATGATCTGGATAACCAGCCCAAGACAACCAAGCCAAATTGAAAATCTAGAACACCTGAGTAGGATCACGAGTCGGACAATGAACCACCACCATCAGTAAACTTGACATCTCAAAAATTCCCAAGAACTGATGTGTCGTAAGAGCAGAATCAGGCAGATAAAAGAAATCCAATCCAACACGAGCATTGAACGAACCCATGTATGGTATCTTGGCGGGTCGTGGGCGTCGTGGTTTGACATTTCGTAAACATGAACTGCATCGCAGACGTCAACTGAGATCGATCGCAACCTGGCTCGCTTCGCTCGCGTTCAGGAACCTCGTGAAATCAGCCTGCAGCGGGTGGCTCAAGTTCTGGTGCATCCTGGCAACAACGGGGGCGGCGCGCTTCTCCTCCGGCGTGAGCGGGGGTCCAGCAAACCAGATCTCGTCGCCGGCACGTTGTTGGACAGGCTGAGGCTGGAGTTCATCCGGCTGTGGTTCGTCGGGTACTGGAACTGGCTGTCGTGATTCGCCTTCGACTGGTGGTCGAGGTGGTGCTGGTACTTCGCCAACTGGAGCACGTCCGATAATGAACAACCCGTATCGTACTGGATCTTGAAATCGTTCTCGTGGTGCGTAAGCCCCTGGGACGTACTCGTGCTCGACGATGATGCGATTATCTTCGGGTAGAAGAAGGGAACATCTATGAACATCTGGACCGCACTCAGGTTTAAGACGCTTCGCCTTCGGCTGGAAGGCGGCCTGCATGTACAAGATCTGCCAGGGGACCAACTCGGACACCTGCTTCCGCATCTCTGAGTCCTGCGCCACCTGAGCTGAGGGGGCGTTCCTCCGACTCATGACGTCGACGACCGATTGCACGATGTTCTTCCATTTCGTCTCGTCCATGTCGGGCGCCGAATAGCAGACGTGGTGCGCGGTAGGAGCTGGGGAGTCGTAGGAGACGGGGTAGTAGCTGCACAAATAGGTGCCGTGTCCGAACTCCTCGCTCTCGATGACCCTGGTGAGACCTCGGCAGATGGCGTCGGCTAGCTGCCAGGTGTAGACCTGTGAGAGCTTGGTGTTGCCATTAGGTCCGCCTCCTTGCACTTCTTCATGTGGATGCCGGTGGTCACAGTGTCGGTCGAGCTCTTGAATGAGAAGTGGATGCGTGCCCAACCAGCGGACCAGCTTCTTCATGGGGAGGCCCTGGTTGCCGACCATGCCGGACATGCACATATTAGAGGTGCACTCGTAGTTGTCCATCCTGAGCTTGACGATTGCCTCCTCGCGCCACGAGTCGGCAGTAGCTGGATTCTCGAGCAGGGCGCGGTTGCCGTAGGCCTTCTGCTTGTCGAAGATGTCCTTCGTGAAGGTGATGAAGCACCGCTCCTCATCGCGTAGGCCCTCCAGCACCTCGGGCATCTCCTTGTAGTTGACGTTGCGGTTGAGCAGCGACCAGAGTGTACACGGAAGCTGGATGATGACCAAGCGCGGCTGCCACTTGTCGATCGTCTCGAGCACTTCCTTCCTGGCCTTCTGCTTCTTCAAGTCCTGACCGAACAGCTTCTCCACCGGTTGTACAGCTCGCATGCCCCAGCCGTTGGCGCGGTCGGCGGCGTGCAGGGTGATGCCGCACTCGCCCGCGAAGATCTCGTAGACGTCGAAGCCGCGTCGCTGGCGTCGTGGAAAACGGCTCTTCTGCATTCGGCTCTCGTAGACGCGCTTCTCGAGCTGCCAGTTGTTGTAGGCGGACTTGGCCATGCCGTAGTACCTCTTCGCCTGACCTGTCGTCAATTGGCTTCCGCATGAGGTGGTCGCTCCCAGCTCGAGTCCTGCTCCTCGTCCATCGCCTCCACGCTTGGTGACCTCCTCCTTCGTGCACTCGCTGATCTCCGTGTCGTAGTTGGGCGCCCAGGCCGTGCCGAGGGGGATGAGCGCTGAGCCGACGAGGAAGGCGGCGCGCATGCACTGCTTGCCGATGGAGTAATGCGATCGATCCTTGCGCCTGGAGTCTTTCGCGTCCCGTGGAGATTCCAAAAGATCGCACTCGTCGTCCTGATCTGGCACTTCTCGCCCTTCCAGACCGTCCCGCAATAGAGGCGCTCCTTGACCTTCCCGGCTGGAACTGTGTACTCGTGCTCTCCGTTGATTGGATGGCAGCACGTCTTGTTCGGATCCGGGTAGCATGACATCCTCGTCCGTGATCCCGCCCTGGTATCTGGAATGAAGCTGTCCACGGTCTTGTCCTGACACAAGATCTGCATCGCTGGAAACTGTTTGCCGAGAAAATTGTCGATCACCTTGTACCTTCGATTCCTGTCGAACATTCTGAGGACCACAAACGCTGCCTGAATGAGAATCGCCCATCGTGCCCGCAGGTCTTCGGTGGTGACCTTGGGAGTCCGTGGCATACACGGTCTCTGGGTATGGAGAATGAAAATCGCTTGAGGCTGTCCTCATAGAATGACTTGGCACCGAGATGGCTCTGGAATCAATCGTGTAGTTTGCTTCGGCTGAGAACGGAACATTTCGATGGATCTCCGTGTCGCTGTTTCGCTCCTCATCGTCGTTCTCCTGGCGTATTTTCGTGGGTCGCCCCGGGCCCGGGCCCCAATCGCGATCTCTGAAATGCTCATAGAACTTGTCAATCGAATCGGGGACGTTTCGACGTAGCGGAGGTACTGCTCGATCGGGTTCGGGCTTGCGGTGTCGTAGTTCTCGGTGCTGTCGTTCGGCTCGATAGGAATAATGTACGTCGTGGTGTTCTCGGTCGGCTCGATCGGAGTGATGTACTTCGTGCTGATCTCGGTTGTCTCGGTCGGTAACGCGAACTGACTGACGATCGCAGAGAGATAGTGAGATGTGATTCGACTCTCGCAGGCTGCGCTCGCACACCGAAACTGTATAGGTATCAATCTCGAAGCCTGCGTCGACTGGAAAACGTGTAACTGGCCAGTCGTCGATCCGAACTGCGAGATGTCCACTCTTAGACATCAGAAGCTGTACGTTCGGAAGCTGAGCAGCCAGAAAATGAACTCGAGAACCAGCGAGGTCGACCACACAACCAAGATCTGTCATCAAGTCTCTTCCGCCCAAGAAAGGTAAACGAGCCGTCGCCACATCATCAATCGTTGAAGTGTGTAAAACCATCGCACGTCCGTGAACTCCGACTGGCGTTGACCAACGTTCTGCACTCGTCATCGGCTCGCCAGGACGGAAGCGATACTGTTCACCTTCGGGTTGAGAGCAGACCTGTAGACCCTGTCGGTCGAGAAAACGTTCTTGAAACTGTCGAAACCCTCGTGGTCCAGCGACCGTCGTCTGGCACGCAGTGTCGAGCACCAGGAGGTCGGCGTCGCTGTCGATGTTCACCGTGCTGAAAACGTCCTTCACCATCGTCATCATGTAGATCGAGCGCTCCTTGTGAAAGCTCTTCGTGTTGAACTTCGCCCTCTGGCCGCCGTTGCCGTGCGTCATCATGATATGTCGTGCGTGATCGGGCTCTTCGTGATGAGCGCTATCTTCTTGACGTCCGTATTCTTGTACAGCACCTTGACGTCGTGGCCCGGCAACCTGAGGCGGCGTCGCACCGAGCGTCTCGTGGATGTTGTTGGTCGCCGCTAGGACCTGATGTGCGTACTCAGATTCAGAAACTGTGGGTAATCTGTTCGCACTGTAACCGTGTCTTGTCGAAGCCGAAGACGCGCCTGAAGTCGTTCGTCCATCTTGATCGCGCTCGCGTTGACCAGCAAGCTGCTGATGGGCAGGAGGCCACCAGGCGTCGGAAGACTGTGAGGCCTCGTTCGCACTCCGTGTAGCCGTCGTGCCTGTAGATGTCCTCTTCGAAGCTGGCGCTCGGCACTGGCGGTCACCTGCCCAATGGCCGATCTCGCCACAAGCCGAGCAGTTCGTCACCTTCTTGAAGTCCTCCAACGACATGCCGCGTCGTGCCTCGCCTCCGTCGTTGCCCTTGCCCTTGCCGGAACGGTTCGGCCGGTGGCCCTTGCCGTGCTTGCCTTTGCCCTTGCCGCCCTTCGTGTGGTAGTAACCTCGCGCTCTGTTGGCCTGGTTGAGACGATCGTCAGCCTGCTTGAACGTGACGTGAGCTGCGTGGATCTCTCTGGCCAACGCCTCGGGCAGCTGCTCGTCCCAGGAGTCGCCAGGAACTTCCTCCCAGCTAATGTCGTACGAGTCGTCGTATGCGAGATCTGCGTCGGTCACCTGCCAATCTTCATGATCTTGCTGGTAGTCGGGCTCGGTGACCTCCCTCTCGTACGTCTGCTGGTTCGTAACGTGAGCGCTGTACTGAGGTCGGTACTTGCGATCTCCTTGAAACCTGTGACGCGGCACCAGCGGCATAGGAAACAAGATGGCCGCTTGCTCCTTCAGCGGCTTCCACTCGAACTTCGAACCTGCTGCCATCAATAATGTGGCCTGTGTCTCGTGGTCCAGCTGCGAACTCTCCATGAACTGCCTGGTGATGATCGGATCTGGGATGTCCAGATCGACCGACTTTGCCTGGAGCACCGCCTTGTCCACTCGAGTGGCGAGCTGTAGTAATGTCTCGCCTGGCTTGACGTGCTCCATGTGAAAGAAATCGTCCATCGCGGCGCCTGTCTTGACCGTTGGGCGCTGATCGAAATAGGCCAACCTGTCGAGTAAGAGCTCCACGCCGTTCGGAACTGCGAAAACTGTCGGGCTCTCGTCCTCTTCGTGATCGAAAGCCTTGTCCTTGAGCGCTGCATGCAGTCGTAGTGCCATCCCCTCAGGGCCGATGATGTTCTTCGCAATCAAAACCCAGTTATCGACCTGCGCCTTGTAGCGTCTGAATATCTTTGGATCCCCCATGTTACCGTCGAACTCCGGAGGCGCAGGTAGGTTGCCACGAGGCCTGGAGCGAGGGTCATCGCGTGGATCACGTCCTGCACCTCGCTTGCCTCCTTTGGCCGAGAAGTCCTCATCATCGTAGTCGTCGCCCTTATCTGCAGCAGCGCGGCCACCGGCAGGTGGCGTGTTGGGAGGCGTGCTCCTTCTCGACATGGCGGTGCTGTCCGTGGGAAAGCTGCTCTGCGCTACCAAGTCGACTATATCAAATCAAACCAGAGGTTTCTCGGAACCCTAGTGGAGCGTGGCCCGATGCACAGGACCTTTGGGATCTCTTGAGAGTGGGCTCTTTGAGCCTCGAAACCTTTCTCGCCTGGATGCAAACAAGCGGGTTCTGTCGCCAAACAGAGCAAGGGCCCTCCGAAGCCCAGACGGCAGCGGAGGCAGCGGGTGAGAGGGGGCGAACGGGAGCAGGAACGTGCAACTGGTGCACGTGAGACGTTAGAGAGGGGATTGGGGCAATGAGAAATGTGAGCGATATTGCACGGGCCAGTGTGCGGGCCACACGAGGGCTCTCCATGTCATTCATGGGAACATCTCCTTCAATTGTTTATGTGCCCATGCATCCATAGCCGTTCGCTTACATGGCTTAAGCTCCCGCGTGCGCCCCATTCTTCGTGTTTATGTTCGCTTGCTCAGATTGTGGCGCAACCCCGCCTTCTCGGAGCCTCACAATGGCATTCTCGTCGCCGCGTTTTAGGGCCCGCCTCGAATTTCAAATCTAAACGCACCCCAGGAGCAATTCGGCTGGCGCGCGAACGTGTAAATCGAAGGCGAGAACAAATAAGGAACGGGTAAAGGAACTTAAAAGGATACGGCCATATTTCGAAGGTCAAAGAGCTAACTGCCAACATATGCGAAACCTTGAAGGACCAAGGTGCGCGGCGCGAAGCGCCAACGCAGTCTTGTACATCACATATATACACAGATATGTGTACACACATCTGCATATCTCATCTCTTTCCATGCGCTGCTGCGCAAGGCAAACACTGTCAGTGCCTCCACGACTTGCGCCGAACTAGAGGCTTTTGGGCCAGGGTCACTTTGACGACGAGGTCTCCTGAAACCTTTAGAACGCCTTTGCTGAAATTCGCAGATAATTGTCAAATCGAGCGATGGCAACTTTTGGCATCAAAACTGTTTGTTTCGTGGATTTTGCATGCGGCCACCCCCCCCGGCGCCTCGGAAACTCTGGGGAATTTTCAAACACATTGTGAGGACGACCGTAGATTTATCCTTGAATCTGCATGCGCGTTCCGTCGCCAATGTGGTGTCCATATGACCGCGGGGTCTCGCGGCGGAGGACGAGCAGACAGGATGAATAACATATTTTGAGATGTTGAATTCGATATTTCAGACACAATGCCAATCGTCTTGCCGGACTGGTGCCGCTTCGGCGAGGCGGGCAAGCGCATTGTCTTCCTCGTGGACTGCCACTCGGTGGCGCGGCTGGTGAACGACGATATGGAACTCACGGGCGTTACCGGCATGCCGGTTTTCAATCGCACCAATCATTTTCAGCGGTCCTTTCACCGCCTCGGTTGGCGCCCCTGGCGGGATCACAAATCCTTTGTGGAGTGGGTCCCGAGGGATTGGAGTGAAGCAGCGGACAATCTTGCGTACGGGGCGCTGCGCTAGGGCACGGGGAGGACGAGGACGTGCTCAGGGAACGTATTGTGGCCACCAATGCCTGAGCTTACCGCAGCGACCGCGGATCTGCCGCGTGGGCCATGCGCACGGCAGCCGGGCCGACGCTCGACGTCACAAGCTTGGAGAGTATGTGTGCGTAGACGTTGCACATGTTCCATTCCAGTGCGAAGGGATCGCGATTTGCACCGCCATGTGGAGCCACCAGGTTGTAGGATCAGGGTTTGCTGCTCCCTGCGCCAGTTTCCATTGTTACAAGTTTGCTTTATGCTTCCTGCTGTAAATTGTTACTGTCCGCGCGAGGGGGGAGCCGAGAAGGAGCCGAGTTACCACGCCCGAATCGCGTGCTCTGAATTCCTGGGGGGGTCGTGGGACACGTAAAATTATATGGAATTCGCGCCCCCGAAGCCATACACCCTCATAAATTACACAATGTTCGCGTCCCCGAAGCCATACGTTTTTGCGAATTACACAATATTCGCGTCCCCGCAGCCATCAAACCTCGCAAAATACATCATATTCGTGTCCCCGAAGCCATAAACCCTGGTAAATTACACAATGCTTGCGTCCCCGAAACCACAAACACTTGTAAATCATTCGATATTCGCGTCCCCGAAGGCGTAAACCCTTATATATGTATATACATATATATATATATATATATATATATATATATATATATAACATAGCGTTCGTGTCTCCGAAACCATAAACCTGCGTAAATGATGCAACATTTGCGACCCCGAAGCCGGAAACCTTTGCAAATTACGCGGTTAATCGCGTGTCCAAAACCATAAACCCTTGTAAGTTACACGATGTTCGCGTCCCCGAGGCCATACACCTGTGTGAAATACGGTATAGTTGCGACCCCGAAGCCATAAACCTTCGTACATTACGCGATATTCGCGTATCTGAAGCCATAAGCCTGCGTCAATTATTTTATACTCGCGTCTCCGATGCCATCAAACCATGTAAATTACATCAAAATTGCGCTATATTCGCGTCCCCGAAGCAATACAATACACCCTCGTGAATTACCCCCCCAGAGCCATACGCCCACGTACATTACTGAATACTCACGTCCCCAAAGCCATAAACCCTCGTACGTTACGCGATGCTCTCACAAACACTCGTAAATGATGCAGTATTCGCGTCCCCGAAGCTATACAACCTAGTAAATCTGATATGCCATTGCCAATTGCCCTATCATGAGGTTCCGACATTGTTTCGCGACGGCGCCGAGAAAATACAGCATAGCTCTGGCATGCTCCATTCTGATTGAAAGGGGGCCGGCGGCAGGGGGCGAAGCCCTTGAGGATAAGATGTATGATCTTGGGGGGTGTCCATTGCATAATTCCTGAAGGAGGAGGAAGGTAAGGAAGGAGGAGAAAAACACTCATGTGAAAAGGGAACAATGGCATATAACGAGAAATGAGAGAGAAGGTGCAAGGAGAACGGACAAGGACAAACTATGTGAGGATATTGCAAAAAAAGAGGGAGAGGAGGGAGGGATATAATGATGCAGAAGCGAGGGCAGTACACGTGGCCAGTCACAGTGCGAACGCGACAAAAATAAGGAACATAATGATACATGACATGTGGATAATGTGGAATTCAGTGGGGCCCGTGAGCATTTATAAATACACATGTATGTACATATATATATATATATACATACAAGTATAGGTAAAGGTACACATATGTATGGTCAGCCATGCAGAATTATGTGTTGCAGTATGACTCCGTGCCCACACACTGGATATAACCATTTCGCATACAAGCCGCCACCGTGCCGCTGGGCACAAAGTGGGCGTGCCCTCTGGTCCGTTACATAATTCTTGAATCTCAATCCCCAATTCTGAAGTTAATTAGGGGTCGGACCCCAATGTTCGATCTATAGCGGGGCTTGGCGCGGCTCCCCTGAGCTCCCCCGCTTCTTGTCGCATGATTTCTTCGGGCCCAGGATGGCTCCAAGACGGGCCCAGAGCCAAGAGGCCCTCCAATACGGTCTAAGAGGGCCCCGAGTCGCCGAACGATCGCTCCAAAACGCTCAAGATGGCCTTCAAAACGCCCCAAGATGCTCCCCAAGAGGACCCCAAGAGGCCAACATCATTGATTTCCCCTAGGTGTTTGAAGATTTTTGGCGCTCTCGCCGTTTCGGCTTACCGCCGCTCCCCACAAGTCCACCCCACAATGGCCCAACAGGCCTCCAAAGGGCCCCAAAACAGACCACACGAGGGCCCCAAGACGACCCAAGAAGCGCCCAAAACGGTCCAAGAGGGCCCCAAGACGGCTCCCAAGAAGTGTCCAAACTGCCTCCAAGAGGCCCCCGAGAGGCCTCCCACGAGATCCCAACGAACATCCAACAGGCTTCATACCCACAGCCCAGGCACGGTGGCGGGATGGACCGAAGGCCAGTATCTACTATGCTATCCGCCGCCCCCTGTCGATTCATCGCAAGGGTGCCTGGCGTGCTGAATCCTCTCGGCTTTGGTTTGGTTCTTTTTCCAAAAGAAACCCCCCTGAGGCTTCGGCGCGTTCCGCCGGGGTCCCGGAAGGCTGCGTAAACCACCTCAGCGCCGACAACAAATCCTCCAAGACGGCTCAAGATGGTCTCCAAGATGGCCACGTTGGCCCAAGATGGTCCAAGACGGCCTCCAAGACGGCCTAAGAGAGTCCAAGATACCTCCAAGCTCGCCCAAGAAGCATCCAAGACGGCCCAAGAGGCCTCCAAGAGGTCCTCCAGGAGGGCCCGAAGAGGCCAAAATCATAGATTTCACTTAGATTTTCGAAGGATTTGGGCATTTGCTCCTTTTCGGCTTTCCGACGACCCAAGACGGCCCAAGAGGCCCCCAAGGGCGCCCCCACAGCGCCCAAGAGGCCTCCAAGATGGCCACATAACGACCCAAGAGGCCCCCAGGACGGCCCCAAGAGGGCACAAAGACGACCCAAGAGGCCTCCAAGACGCCCAAGATGGCCTCCAAGACGGCCCTGGAGCACCCCAAGAGGGCCCCAAGTCGGCCCAAGGGGACCCCCAAAACGGCTTCCGACGGCGTCAGACGGGCCAGGAGCCCACCAAGATGGCCGAAGGTGGCTCGAAGCTGGCCCAAGACGGCACACGAGGCCTCCAAGAGGGCCTCAAGGAAGACCAGAAAAAGGCCAACAACATGGATTGTCCTTAGGTTTTTGAAGGATTTCGACATTTGCTTCTTTTCGGCCTTCCGACGGGCCGAGACGGTCCAAGAGCGCCCAAAGATCGCCCAAAGATCGCCCAAGAGGCTTCCAAGATGGCCACAGAACGGCCCAAGAGGTCCCCAAGACGGCCCCAAGAGGCCCCCAAGACGGCCCAGGAAGCTTTCAAGACGCCCAAGATGGCCTCCAAGACGGCCCTGGAGCATTCCAAGAGGGCCCCAAGTCGGCCCAGAGGGGCCCCAAAACGGCTTCCGACGGCGTCGGACGGGCCAGGAGCCCACCAAAACGGCCGAAGATGGCCCTAACATGGCCCAAGAGGCTCCCAAGAGGGCCTCCAGGAAGGGCCGAAAAGGCCAAAATCAGTGATTCCCCTTCAGTTTTTGAAGGATTATGGCATTTGCTTTTTTTCGGCCTTCTGACGGCCCGAGGCGGCCCAAGTGCCCACAAAGATCGCCCAAGAGGCCCCAAAGACGGCCTAAGAGGCCCCCAAGACGGCCCAAGAGGCCTCCACGCTCAAGATGGCCTCCAAGGCGGCACAAGAGCCCTCCAAGACGTCCTCCAAGAAGGCCCGAAAGGGCCAAAATGGCCTCCACACGGCCAAGATGACCTTCAAGATGCCCACGTGTTCCCCGAAGGCTTTCCAAACCGATTCGGGGAACACATGGTCCGATAGCTTCGCAGGTCTGGCCTCAACGTTCGGCCACATAGGCGCTTCCAAAAAGGCAGGGGGCGGCGGTGATTCGCCGTAGGCGTCTTCGATAACATAATAAAATATGGTTTGCCACGCTATCACATTATATGCACTCACACATATATGCGTATGTGTTCACATACTACGTATAGTACTATCTACATATAGGTTTTAAACACAAGCATGGAACCCGTACCGGAATGCTATGAAGAATTGCCTATTCCTATCGGCCAAGCAACCGCTATCACGTTTTGAATAGACCATCGATACGAGGGGACCTTTCAATTCTGATGACACAGTTGATGACAGTGGTTCAGCATGGCAACCTTCTAAAAAGGACTGAACCAAACAGACTGACAAAAGCCTGGTCTCTGTCATGCTTGCTGGGGACCTCACATTCTTGCCCCCTTGCTCCGTGCAGCTCCCCGATAGCGTCGATCCAGTCGGGGGGGGAGCCCTGGCGCCGATCCCAGAACCCCTTGCGGACTTTCGAAAGTTCATGTTTGTGCCGTTGTTTACTCTTCGAGATCAAGGCGGCGGCCTCCGCGACCCAGGCGTTATACTCCTTCGCGGGCGAAAAACAATCTGACGTACACTTTTTTCCCCCGACAGGGGCATCTGTCTCAGGGCAGCTGGAAAATTATACCCTTTGATGGCAAGCGGTGGTGTAAACTTCCCAGCCGCCACGGGACAAGCGCCCCCGATAGTGTCATAACTTATTACGTAGCACCCCGCAATCGCGGATGAGAGTGAGGGGGCGGCGGGGACGTGGGCAGTTTGCGAGTCTCTGAAGAAGCCTGTCGCAGGCGCCTTCTTGTTTTACAAATTGTGCAACGAGCTCGCCGCAGGCGCCGATTTTTTGTTAAAGAAATGTGGATGGGTCGCGGGTGGGTCGCGGGGTGGGTCGCGGGGTGGGTTGCGGGTGGGTCGCGGGCCGGGTCGCGGGTGGGTCGCGGGTGGGTCGCGGGTGGATCGCAGGTGGGTCGCGGGCCGGGCCGCGGGTGGGTCGCGGGTGGGTCGCGGGTGGGTCGCGGGGTGGGTTGTGGGTGGGTCGCGGGCCGCGTCGCGGGTGGGTCGCGGGGTGGGTCGTGGGTAGGTCGCGGGCTGGGTTGCGGGGGGGACGATGCCAAACAACAGCAACAACACCGACAACAACACCAACAACAGCAGCAACAACGCCAACACCAACACCAACAACAACACTAACAACAAACACATTATCAACAACACCAGCAGCAGCCACAACAACAACACCAGCAATCACAACAACAACAAACACACCAACACCAACACCAACACCAACACCAACACCAGCAGCAGCAGCAACAGCATCAACAACAACAACAGCGACGACAACAACAACAAAGACCACAACAACAACAATAAGCACAGCACTACTCAGAACACAAGCAACAACGACGACAACACCTGCAACACTAGCAGCAGCATCAACAACAGCACCATCAGCACTAACAACACCACCAACACCACCAACACCAACAGCAACAACAGCACCAACAACAACAGCAGCAACAGCAGCAGCAGCAACAGCAACACCACCACCAACAACGACGACGACAAACAAACAGACAGACAGACAGACAAACAAACAACATCGACGACAGCAACAACACGAATAACACCACCAACAGCAACACCATCAACAACAAGAATCCGCCTGGCGGAATCCCGCTTCAGCCACGCACCCAGGGACAATGAATGACCGCTCGGCCCCCTCACTCTGATATACTTGGGCGCCCGATTTTTCCGGGGTAACTCGGGTCCGGGGTAACTCGGGTTTGGATTCCCGAAAAAGGAACCCGCGTTAGCCCTGACCCGAGTTACCCCTGATGATTTGGGGCTCTGGGCGCCCGAGTTTTCCGGGGTAACTCGGGCCCGGGGTAACTCGGGTTCGGATCCCCGAAAAGCGAACCCGAGTTAGCCCTGACCCGAGTTACCCCTGATGATTCGGGGCTCTGACAATGTATGACCGCTCGGCCCCCTCACTCTGATATACCATTCTTCGCCCGCTGAACTCCGGCACGGTGGGGAACGCTGGCTGGGCCACGAACGCGAGCGGCGTGACCTGCGAGCCGCGGCCCACGGCGTCCACCGCGGCGCCCGCCCGCAGGAGCGCCGCGAGCACGCCTTGCGGGGGGGCTGCCCAGAGGGTGGCCCTGACTCGGGGTGGCCCCTGCCTTCAACAAGGATAGGGGAACGAAAAGTGACATAAACAGAAAAACTCGGAGGTCCGCGCGGATTTCTCGGACCCGCGCTGGGGCCCCCCCGGCGGCGCCCTCGGCGCGCTCCGCGCGCCAGGGAGGGGGGTCCAGCGCGGATCCGAGAAATCCGCGCGGACCTCCGAGTTTTTATGTTGATGCCATCTCTCGTTCCCATCAAGGAGGCACACATGGACGACGACGCGAAACGCCATGCCAACCCGTCTGGGCGGGGCTTGCCATCGCTCGGACGTCCGTTCCCTGTGCATTTTTCGGTTTCGTGCGTGTTTTTTTTTTTTGCTCGATGATCCAGGATGGTCCTCGATGGTTCTCGCCGAGAAACAAACGCACACGTCCGAGCGATGCCAGGGGGGATACAGGACCGGGCATCTCGGCTGCCCCGACAGAGCAACACGCAACGCGTGGCGTGTGGACACGGAGCGCATCACGCTGACCGAACATGTGCGCTTGGCGCGACGCGTTCGCCTCGGGAGCGGCCAAGAGGGGGGTGTCCGAGAGGGGGGGGGTGCAAATCATGGCCGGCGGCATGTGCGCGGCCCAGTGGGGGGGCCAGGGACGTCACGAAACAAGAAGAGGCGCCATGAAATCTGGGGGAATGTCATGGCCCCCGCCATGATATCCACCCCCCCCCCTTGTCCTCACCCCCCTCTTTTCCGCCCCCGATCGCCAGAAACGTGGATCAACACGTGCCGGGTCAATGCGCAGCGTGTTAGCACGTACGTGTTGAACACGGTCCGTGCTGCGTTTGAGCACGGGCGTATCAGGGCAGCTGGGCCCGGGATACGTCACTCCAGAACGTTCCAGAACGCTCTCAGAGCGTACCGCGCGTTCCAGAGCGCCCTAGGACGGCAGCGGCTACAAGGCGCCCGATGCATCCTCCAAGACGCTGGATCTCAGAGGGCCCCGATTAGTCCTGGTCTTGCGCTGGAAGAGATGGCGGCCTTACGCGCGGCTGGCGTGACACACCGCGTGGAGAGAAGGCGCGCACGCGCGACCTTGCGCGGGAAACCTGCGCGCAAATGTCCGCGCAATCGGCCCCGTTTTCTTCCGTCGCTCACGTGGTTTCTAGTGGAGGGGAAGAACACGATGCCCATAACCATGACCCAGGCTTAATGCGAAAACGTCGGTGTCGATCTTTTCAACCGTCCGTCTTGCCCGTCGTTGATTCGTGCTTCATCCTCGCGAATGAGCGAAACGGCGACCGCTGGCATGGACCATGACCAAGATCGGCGTCGACAAGATCCCGCGACATCTTGGTCATGGTCTGCCCGTTTATTCCCTCGATCCAGGGCACCCCTCACGAGGCCCAGAGGGCTCCGAGGGGCCCCAAGACGGCGTCAGAAACTGGGGCCACCCTGGGCCAGGACCTCCGCAGCAACGCCCCGGGGCCTGGAGAGCAAGCATGGCTGAGCGCCCGCAATAGCGGGGGCTCTCCCGTCAGCCGGCAGTCCACGATGGCCAGGGCGGGGTCGTCGGCAACGGCGCACTCCACCTCCGCCACGCTGTTGGCTCTGTAGGCGTGCTCTATGGCAGAGGCGCTCCCCAAGGGCCTCCGAGGCGTAGACACCTGAGGAGGGGCACCGTTAGGATTCGTCTGGCATGTCCTCCTACACGCGGGTTTTGGGAGAATGATGGAAACATAAAACACATCGCCTGGCGAAGGACCCAACCATATGCAGTTGTGAGTGCCGCAGATGTGAGTCTCGTCTTTGGTGGAGCTCCCTATGGGGCCACGGAGCGTGTAAGAGATGTGCCGAAATTGTGTGGAACCGCATGCGAACCCTACCACTGAGGCCTTCGGTTGAGCTCCCTAAGGGGCCACGAAAAGTGACAGAGGTGTGCCGAAATGGTGGTGGATCCGCATGGGAACACTGCCACTGGGGCCTCCGGTGGAGCTCCCCAATGGGCCACGAAGCGTGTGAGAGGTGTGCCGAAATGAGGGTGGAACCGCATGCGAACCCTGCCACTGGGGCCTTTGGTTGAGCTCCCTAAGGTGCCACGAAAAGTGACAAGGGTGTGCCGAAATGGGGGTGGATCCGCATGCGAACCCTGCCACTGGGGCCTTTGGTTGAGCTCCCTATGGGGCCACGAAAAGTGACAGGGGTATGCCGAAATGGGGGTGGATCCGCATGGGAACGCTGCCACTGGGGCCTTCGGAAAAGCTCCCTATGGGGCCACGAAACGTGTGAGGGGTAAACAAGAATTGGGGTGGAACCGCATGCGAACCCTTCCGCGAAAGCCTTCGACGGAACTCCCTATGGGGCCACGAAACGTGTGAGGGGTGTGCCGAAATGGGGGTGGAACCGCATGCGAACACTGCCACTGGGGCCTTCGGTGGAGCTCCCTATGGGGCCACGGCAAGTGAGAAGGGTGTGCCGAAATAGGGGTGGAACCGCATGCGAACCTTGCCACTGGGGTCTTCGGTGCTCCCCGTGTGGCCACGAAATTTGTGAAGTGTGTGTGTGTGTGTGTGGTGAAATGGGAGTGGAACCGTATGCGAACCCTGCAACTGGGGCCTTCGGCGGAAATCTCTTCGGGGCAACAACGTGTTAGGGGTGCAAGGGAGGGGAGGGAGGAGGGGAGGAGGAAGGAGGAGTGAGGAACGCAGGGCGCTGTCTCTTCAAAACGAGGACCTAACACCACAGGATGGCTGGGAATACTCAAAGATAGAAACACTAGTTGAAACATCGTCCCCAGACTATGTTTTGAACTATTCTTACATATTCCTCGGGAGAGGGGGCACCAGTTCGTGGGCGGGACACGGAGGGACACGGCGAGCCTGCATCGGCGTGGCACCGCTGATGGCTCGGCGATAGGCCCCCCATCGCGAAACCGCGCCTCCTCGGGCGGGGCCTGGACTATCAGCCGGCAAATCTGCGAGGCCGATCCCCCCCCAAGATCCTCGTCGCCCTGCTTTCGGGTCATACCTCGGGTCTCTGGCAGCCGTTCGGGACAATCCGGGCAATCCCGAAGCCTCTCGGCAAGGCGCAACTGCTGGAACGCACCCCGAGGCAACACAACCGCTGAGAACCGAGGAAACCGCCCGAAAATCTCGAGCCTCGATTCCGAGAAAGTCATTCCACCCCCCCCGCGGATTTTGCCCCTGGACACCTTGATCGCCAAGTTTGGTGGCGTCTCCAACTGCCACTCCTGCGCCCGCCTTCTGTGCGGCGGGGGCGACATCGGCGGAGGACAGCTGCGGCGGCAGGTGGACTGCTGCCGCGGGCTCATGGGCACGCTTACTGCAACTGTCATTGGCGGCTGGCGAAGTGGGCGTGCCTCAGCGAGTGGGCGTGCCTCGGCGAGTAAGCCAATATATCTTGAGCCAAAACTGGTACTAGAGCGGGCAGGGGCTCAGGAGGAAGAAGGATGAGCAGCAGGAGGGAACATGAATTGTTACACCTGCCGGTATGTGATCTCGCATTGGACTATTCCGAGAGGTCGTCCGACCGACAGGTTGCTAGCGAAACCGTTCCACATCTTTGCTCTTTCGGCCAATGTTAGGGCCGACACTCCGATGGATGTTCAAGCCCCCTGTGCAAAAAATGTTTCGGAATATGATACATTTTTTTGGCGCAAGGCGACCGTGCTAGATGATAAAACCTTTCAGGGGAACGGGGACCCTATTCCCTTTTATATATCTTTACAATCCGGGCGGAACGCGACAGAGGTCACCCCCGCCCCCAAAACAAGACTCCCGGGATCTGGGGCTTTGGGACCCTCTGGACGGGCTTCGAAGCGGCCCTCTGGGCCTCGAAGGGCGTCTTGCCAAGCCTTCCCAGCACACCTAAGGCGATCAGGGGGGTCATCGGAGACGCCCCACAGACCCCCAAGACAGCACAAGAGCGCTCCAAGAGTGACCGACGTGACCTCTAGCGATAACTCCTTGTTGCCTGTTCCGGCATCCCCGCTATAATAATGTTATTCGTCATCCTTCCTCCATGCTTCTTTTTCTTCATTTTCGCCATACCCTGCGCATTATCCCCATCCTCCGCAGGCTCCTCCCTGGAGAGCCTCAGGGGGCCTCACAAAAGTTGCTTCAGGCTTTCTTAAGGCCTTCTGGAGGCCTCCTGGGCGTATTCTGGGGGCCTCTGGGGGCTTCCTCGGGCCACCCTGCCTCCAACCGCGGTCTCCCTGAACGACCGGGTCACGATTTGGAATGCTTCGGAAGGGGTCTTAAGGCCATCTTGGGCCGCCATGGAGCTCTCTCTGAGGGCCATCTTGGACCCGTGTTGTGCCGTTTTGGGGCTCTCTTGGACTGCCCGGAAGCCCTTTCGGATGGTTGTGGGGCGAATTTGGGAGCCTCCCAGGCAGCTTCGGACGCCCAGAAGACCGCCGTCTTGGAGCGTCGGGAAGCCGAAAAGAGGAGAACCCCAACATTTACCAAAAACCAACAGAAAATCAATGATTGTTGCCTCTTGGGGCCTGCTTGGGAGTGCTCTTGGAGGCCTCTTTGGGGCCGTCCTGGAGGCCTCTTGGGCCATCTTGAGGTCACGTCGGTCACTCTTGGAGCGCTCTTGTGCTGTCTTGGGGGTCTCTGGCACGTCTCCGATGACCCCCCTGATCGCCCTAGATGTGCTAGGAAGGCTTGGCAAAACTCCCTGCGAGACCCGGGGGGCCGCTTCGAGGCCCGTCCGGAGGGTCCCAAAGCCCCAGATCCCGGGAGTCCAGTTTTTTTTGGGGGGTCCCCCCGCCCGGACTTATAAAAATGTAGGAAGAAGTGTATACATATATATGTTTCTATACTCAGAATATTCTTATATATATATATATATAAAACAAATACGCTGCGTAGCGCATCTCCCTCCGTTGCCCCTGGCGCTGTACGCCTCTCTCGGGGCCCCATGTGGTCGGGGGGACCCTCCCCCCCCCGCCGCTTCCCGGTCCGAACTAGCGGGTGGGGGGGGGGGCGGCGGGCCAGGGCCCGGGGCTGGGCCAGAGCCCGGGCGGGGGATGGGGCCGGGGCTGGGGCTGGGGCCGGGGCAGGGGTCGGGGCCCAGGGCCGGGGCCGGGGCTGGGGGCCGGGGCCTGGAGCTGTGCTTGAGCTGCGTTTGAGCTTTGTTTGGGCTTCGTCTGAGCTTTGTTTGGGATTTGTCTGAGCTCTGATGGAGCCTCGCTTGATCTTTGCTGGAGCCTTGTTGGAGCCTGGTTGGAGTTTTGTGTCAGATTTGCTTGAGCTTTGTTTCAGGGTTTGTTGAGCTTTGTTGGAACTTTGTTGGAACTTTGTCTCAGCGTTGTTAAAACTGGTTAAGTTTTGTTTAAACTGTGTGTGAGCTTTGTTTGAGCTTTGTTGGACCTCTGTTTGATCTTAGTTTGAACTCTGCTGTAGCTTTGCTTAAGCTTTGTTTGAGCTTGGTTGGAGCTTTGCGTGAGCTTTGTTTGAGCTGTCTTGGAGCTTTGAGGGAGTTTGGGTTGAGCTTTGTTTGAGCTTTAATTGAGCTTTGTTTAGCTTTGCCAGAACTTGATTGGAGTTTTGTTTGAGCTCTGTGTGAACTTCCTTTGCGCTTTGTGCGAGCTTTCTTTGAGCTTGCGACGACGAGGACGGAAACGGTGATGGTGATGGCGACGGCGACGGGCGGGACAGTAAATACAACCTTCACGCTGTGACGGGACACTGTTGGGGGAAAATGTATCACAACCACCGCGGAAGCCGTTCGGGCGGGCGGGATATTAAGTGCACTATTTACTCAATGATGAGGCATTCAGTCGGGCGGGCGAGCGGGACATTAAATGCAACCTTCAATATGTGATGGGATAACCTTGGGGGACTATATCACAATAACCAAGGACACCGTTCGGGCGGGCGGGACATTAAGTACACGATGCATTCACTCAGTGATGGAGCGTTCAGTCGGGCGGGGGCGACATTATATGCAACCTTCACCCGGTGAGAGGGCGTTATCATCACCATCACCAACATCATAACCACCACCACCATAATCATCATCGCCACCACCGACGTCATCATCATCATCATCATCATCATCAACATCAGCATCATCATCGTCATCATCATCGTCATCATTATCATCATCATCACCACCATCATCCTCATCAGGCTCATCATACTCATCATCCTCCTCACCACCACCATCAACAACATCATCACCATCATCATCATCACCATCATGATCATCATCATCATTACCACCATCATCATCATCAACATCAACATCATCATCACCACTTGAGCAGGGACCGACCTTCCCAGCATTCCTATAGTCCTACCACGCAATGTTTTTAGAACCCAAAAATGTTCTAAGACCAAAAACACTGTTCTTATAACATAATAACCTAAACCAGATGCGTTAAAACAAGACAGTCCCAGCCAGACATGTTCTAAGAACATTTCGTGGGAACCACACAAGGTTCTTAGAACATTGTTTGGTAGGACTACTATAGGCACGCCAGGACGCTTCGCCACTGCTTGATTCACCATCACCATCATCTTCGTCATCATCATCATCATCATTATCATCATCATCATCATCATCATCATCACCATCATCATCATCATCATCATCATCATCATCATCATCATCATCATCATCATCATCACTCGTCATCATCGTCATCGTCGTCATCGTCATCGTCGTCGTCAATAGTCATCATCAACAACATCAACATAATCGCTGGGCAGCACGGCCTGGGCTCCGGTCCCGGCCCCGGCCCCGGCCCGGGCCCCGATCCCAACCCCGGCCCCGCTCTCGGCCGGCCCCGGCCCGAGCACCCCCCCCTCCTCCTCCCCAGTTCGAACGGAAAGGGCGGGGGGATTCTACCTCCCCCCCCCTGTTCGAGCGGCCCCGGCTGGCCCCGGCCCTGGCCCGAGCCCCCCCCCGCATCTCGTCACGGGTTCGAACGGAGGGGGCTGGGATTTCCCCCCCCCCCCCCCCCTCCGTTCCCCTCCCGAGCTGGGGAGGGGGGGGTTCTGCACGGGGGTTCTGCACCCAGGGGGGGGAATGATTTTACACCCCCGGGGTCGAACCGGGCGGGGGGGGGGGAGCCTGTCAGTAACGATAGAAAACGCGCTTTCATGGCCCCAAACGGGGTCAGAGAGCTGCAAGATGGCTCCAAAACGGTCCGAGAGGCACGGCGCCTGGCCGAGGCGGCCACAAAAGGGCCCACGATGCTCTCAAGATGGCAGACGACCCAAGAAATCTCCAAGACGCCCCAGGAGGGCCGAACAAATCATGGATTCGTTTGAAGGTTTGGAAGACTCCTGGGATAATTACTCGCACATTCCAGCTTCCAGCTTCGGGGCCCCGAAGACGGCCCAAGAGACCCTCTAGATCGCCCCCAAAGGCCCCCAGGGGAGCCCAAGAGAGCCTCAAAGACAGCACCAGAGGCCTTGAAGACGGAGGAGGGTGCCACGAGGGGGAAGTTGAGAGGACCTTACAAGCCTCCCCATAGCAGATTGCCTCCGAGACTTCCAGCGTACCCCCAAGAGACCCCCCGAGGAGCCCAAGAGGCCGACGCCTCCAGAAGAGCTCCAAGACGCCCCCAAAGCGCCTTCCCTCCGTTGGCCCCCGAGAGGAATGCGAGGAATGCCTCCGCATGGGTATCGCCGTGCTTCGCCTCATTCGGCCCTGCGGTTTGCAACCCACCACAATAGGAAGGGGCCACGGGTCCCACATTGCAAACATTGTGACGTGAACCGTCTGATCCCGCAGACCTCTTAGGGGTTCCCGCGTGAGAGGGTCCCGAGACATGCGGAGAGGGCCCTGAGGCGCCCCCAAGACGGTCCAAGAGGGTCATGAGGCAGCCGAAGAACCCAGGAGGGCTCCAGAACAGCTGAAGATGGCCTCAATACTTCACTTGAGACCCCAAGAATCTCACGAGGGCTCCAAGAGGACCCCGAAGAAATCCCCCATACGCGCAATTAAACGATTTTCATTGCGTTTGGCCCGAACAGGCCAGACGGGGTCCCGAGATGGCCCAAAGAGGTGCACGACTGACTCCAAATTGCCAAGAGAAAGCGCCAACACAGCTCCAAGCGACCCCCCCTCCCCGCCCTCGTCCTTTTCCTATATCTCGCCGCGCCCTCGCGCAAGGGTGGACTTTCATTTCGTCTGCTGTCGAGTCGTTCCCTTTCGTTTCGTCCTCTTTCGAAGCCCGCACACATAGAAACCGAACAAATCGAAGCCGACGAATCGAATTGGACGAACCGAAGCGGACGAATCGAAACGGACGAAATAAAGTGGACGAGATACAATTCGAACGAAGTGAAGCGGAATCCGCGTAAGGGCCAGGGCACGATCGCCGCTTGATTTCATTTCACCTCGTCAATTGCGGTGCTCGTCCTCACACCCTGCCCCGGATGCCACACACACACACACACGCACGCACGCACGCACGCACGCACGCGCACACACACACCCACACACAC